CATAAAAAAAAAAAACATAGACATTATGTGAAATGTTGATGTAAAATATATATTGTTAATGTAGTTAAGAAGTTGATTTAACTTAGATATTTTTATTCTGATTATTCTAATATGTAGAGATAGTCATATTTACACGAAGATTCTTATTAAAACAGCAAGTTAACACATTTTATTTTAATGTAACTACCAAGCACCAATAGCAAAATATGTAAACAAATTGTTGTATTAAACATTATTCAAAGTAATTTAAAAAGAAAATGTATGATTATTTATAATATTGAAAAATGATTACATTCATATGACATATATAAATAGAAAAAAAAATAAAATCTCATCATTTTTAAATTCTATAGCTTCTTTGTTAAGACTCAGAACATAAAACTGCTATAAATTAATATATATAACTGATTTCTGAATTCCAAACATTAATATGGATACCTATTGAAGAATACAGTTTATAGTGTAGTTATGTGAAAAGTGAAGTACGTCAATTCACTTTTTGGGTAATACTAGGTAATCAAGTTGATTCAAACATAATATAATATGCAATAAATATAAACACAAAATACGTTTCAAAATAATTGGTATCAAAATAACCAAAACTTTTTTTTTACTTTATTTTATCAAATTTAATAACATTTTATACCAAGAAAAGTAAAAGTTAGATTAAAAAATATCGAATTTAAATGGAAAAAAAAAACACTTTTTGCATATCATGCTTGAACAATTTAGGTGAAAATTTTTTGACATTAAATAATAAAATTAATATTGTATTTATTTTATCATGATATATCAGTAATATGTTATGGATCAAATTGGAATATCAATTTTCATAAAAAAAATCAAACATTTGGTATTGATACAATCAAATTATGTTTGTATACAATTTTAATATGCTGAAATGTCTATGACAAATTATTTTAAGAAATATAGATTACAGTTCAACAATTTTTAATTATATGATGATACTCGTATACGTCAAAAATGATTCTAATTATAAACCCATAAAGTTGAAATCAAAATTTCCATTTACTAAAGTATGTGTTAGAAAAACACATATTTAAAAAAAACAAAAATATACTTTTAAAATACCTGTATATTGACTCTTCAATAATTATATGTGAACGGTACAAATGTTTAATTATAACAAAATATGTAATATCATTTTAAATTTAAATTGTGCGTTGAAATAAATTACATAAAAGCTAGGGCTTAAACTTTGTTTAATTAGAAACTATTTTTCAGCTTTATGATGTATTACTATAGAAGTTAGAAATATAAATCATAAACAATATCGTTCAAATTAAAACATTTAAAAGTGATGTAATATTTACATTTTTTAGTATTTTATTTTTTAGGCAAAATTTAAATATTAAGAATTTTAAATAATTTTAAATAATTTTCATAAGTTCATTACTATGACATTTCAATACTTGATATATAAGTAAGTTCACCTTATATGTTATTAAATATGATGAAAAATTATTTTTAAAAGTTAATCGTTTTTACAGATTGCAAAATCATTTAAAAATAAAATTCAAAAAGTAATATATTTATAAAATTTACGTGTCAAATAATAAATAATATTAACTCTTCGTAGTATAAATAAAACTGGCTTTGGAATCAATGAACAGCAAAATAGATTACGACAGGTGCTTAAAAATCGTATGTTATATGCGAATAAATTAAATATACGTATAATTAAAATAAATTTTACAAGAAAACTCTGATGGCTGTTGAAAATATTAAAATAAAATGTATAATTATAATTCAATAAGAGTATAGTTTATTTAAATTAATTTTTCATCTATCGTTTTTGTTATAATTTTAACACTGAGTGAGGTAAGGTATTGTTTAACTTGATTAATATTTGCTTCAAACTGTTCAGTTGTATTTTTTTTTCTATCGCACGTTTCCTTTATTAAATTTTTAGAAAACATGCGCCGAAAAGTGATGATTGACTATCCCATTTAGGGGAAAAATTACAAGAGCTTTTGCCAATGCTCGAATAATACAAAAGCAGTAGAATTCTTATTATGCCATGTGTTATGTAGGTATGGATAAAAATTGATCAAACAAATTAAATTAATCATCATTAAACATTAAACCTTTTAAAATTTAATGCTTTTATATATTTTAGTATTTTACTTCAACACATGAAGTTATTCGTAGGCTTACTCATTCCTATCATCTGTCTATAGTTACCATTATTTACCGTAATCTACATGCTATGCGTATTTAAAAATACTTGATTGCTATTGTAAAATAAAGTAAGATAAATTAACTATATAATTAATTATTTACTTAGTTTAATCTAAGTAAGATAAATATTTTATATGTTTGGTTTTTAATTCACGTATGTTATTTTTTACGTAATTTAAAAAGAAAAATATGGAATTTTAAAAATGTATGGAAACAAATTGACTTATATTTAGACATAGATTATTGTATATTAACTATTATTTAATATCATTATATTATATTATTTAATAGATGAGAACAAACTTCGGTCAAATCAAATTATGGACAATAATGCAATAGAATTAAACTGACTTTGGTCAGGGTAAATTGGTTTAGAAACTATACATTAAGATACTGTAATAATATAACATACATGTATTGTACCTATATAAAATAAGTAACAGGGATTATATCAAATTGAATCTTTTATATAAAACTAATATTAATTTGATTTAAGGATATTAATTTTGTTAATCTGAAAATAGGAATTGGTAACATACAAAAGAAAATTGATATTGTTAATAACAAAAAATAGATTGGTATTGATTTTTAGGTTGGATGGTATAAAAAACAAAAAAATATTGCAATTGTTACAAAAACGAAATGAACAAGAAATAAATACATAACATACCGCTCTAGTCTAATAAAATAATAATTTTTTTTACAAAATATATAGTTCCAGTATGATAATAATAATAATTCAAAATGAAAATCTGTAGTTGTCACACCTACAATTTTCTCGTTATAACTGAAACAACGAAAAATACACATTATTTTTATCTGAAAGAATGTTTTTGATTGATTTTTAATCATTGTTTCCATTTCATTGGTTAAATTCATTAATTTTCATTTTCAATCATATTTATAAATGGTGTATAATATGTATAGTAGAATTAATTTGATATTAATAAGTGGTAAGTAGTTACTACATTAAATATTATTTGGACTAACTATTCTATTATTATTAGACTACCCGTTGGCAATATAATCGATCGCGAATAGCAATTCCGGATATGTCAATCGACAATTAGAGTTTTAAAGCTGAATGAAAACAAAAACATCGTTGGCCGTAAATAAAAAACGTAGATATAAAATTCAAATAAAATAATTAATAATAACTGGCCAATAAGTGTGAAACAAAGCAAGTCCTTGTGTTCTAAATTACTTCGTGATCTATTTACTTAATTAATGTATCAGCGCATTAACAAATAAACGAAATTAAGATTAAATATAAGTGAAAGTATTGTATAAATAATGTAAAAAATGTGTAACATATAATATTTTCTATTTTGAAATTTTTCCCTAGATGGCCTAGACAATAAATTATTAACGCACCTAGTAGACAGTAGTTGACAGTATAAGAATTTGTATATTAATTTAGTTATATGTCTTAAAATCTCTCTTACTTATTTGAGTATTTTTTTAACCTTCAAAAACTACGTTACATTTAAAAAAAAAAATAAATGTCTCTTCGTTAGGTAGAAGATATATTAGCCTTCTCTATCGATGATCCCGAGGGATTTTAATGCAAAAGCAGATTGTTTTTTAGTGTTTTATAACGTAGATTCCGAAAAAAAAATATATGTATGAGTCATTGGGCTATTTTGGTTATTTCCTTTTTAAATGTACTCGTGTTTTATAGTGTTTTAAATTATGGGCAATTTTTACTATACTTTACGTTTTAAATAATTGTTCATGTTTGAAAAAATTGTTTAATGTAAATTTTTGTATGAACGCCATTATTTTATTTAAAAATCATTCAAAACTAAAGAAAGGATAACAATAAAAATGTTAATGCAATTAATAGAAAAAATGTTGAATTTATCGCTAAAATAATGGTTCAAAATACCACCATGCTAAGTATTTTTTTTAAATTATAAATGGAAAAAGTCCTTAAAAAAAACCCAGAAGGTAGTGTGGACGATTTTTATTTTTTAATAATATGCCCTATTACATTTAATTTATTTTATTTGTTTATTTATTTAATTAGATTACATACATAGAAATACTATCATTAAGAAATCCAATTATTGTTTAAAAAAAAAAAAAATATATATATATATACGAGTATATTATATTTTTACTTATTTAACTCTATGAAATAGAAATTTTAAAATGTTCATTTAAAAATAATATACCGAAAAATAATTTTATTTATATGTATTACATTTTAAACTATACCTACAGTTTTTTTTAAATACAATGAAAGTTTAAAAAAAATGTACTCACAATGTTCACAACTAATATACTAATAAGTTGTGACATAAAAAACAAAAATACATTTTATAGTATTGTTAAAATTAATTTTTCTGAGGTTGAGAAGGCTCTTTAAGTACCTATCTGTTTTTCAATTTGTAAATAATATTTCATAAAGTAATGGTAGATCATTTAACTTATAACGATTTTCAAGAATTGACAAACCTGTCAATTCGTTTGATGAACTCAAACTTGGATTATAAAAGTCGCACGTAAGTTGTAACTCTTCATTGTGTAATTTAAAGTAATCATCATGATTTATGACTAATTAAGTTTCTTATATTATAATTTATTTTAATTTCTATTCATTATGATATGCTATGTATATAAAAAAATCAATCGATTTTTACAAGTAATGTAACAAGGCAACGATCAAAATGTTTGCATTTGTTTTCGTATTGTGATATTAATTGCTTCAGATCTATTTTTTTTATTTTTTTTTGCAAAACTCAATTTTACGCTTGATCTTATAGTTATAGCACTTAATCTAAAACGCTTACAACATGTTAGAAGAGGAAGAAGAAGAGCACATCATAAGACGACAGGAAGGTTAGTCTTAAACTTAAGTGTAGACAGCTATAGTAATAAAAAAACTGATACTGAAACTGAATTATATTATTATAATCATTATTATTTTTTATTGATGGATTTATTCACGGTATCATAACCTGTAAATAATATTGTAAAACGATAGACCTTATATAAATATCGAACGAAAGGTACATAACTTAATGTAAATTTAATAAGACGTTTTAAAATAATTATTTTACATCTAACGGAAAGTCGTTCGTACTTCATAATGATGTGTATACAGAAGAGGGTGACAATTATAATATAAATAAAATTTATAAATGTATTTACGGCTTTCAAGTGGTTAATAAAAAATACAATTAAATATTATAGGTAAAATTTAAAAAAAAATGTTATTATATTTCAACATTATAAGTTTTTATGGAGGCATTCGTGAAAAAATCGACACTAAAAGTGTTAAGTCAATGTTTGTCATTGGTTCCAAAATCCATTTAAATTATTTTAAATAATCGCTTTGATTGAAAATATATTAGGTACAATATTATATGTAAAAAAAAGTTACAAAAATGTTTCAGTTTTTTTTTATCGATGGTTAATTTTACTATTTTTTTTTTAATTACTTGAATTGTTTTTATCTTTCTTTTTTTTTTAGTTATATTTTCAATTTAAACCATATAAATCTTTAAAAAGTTCCATCAACCAATGAAACAATAGATGGTTTTCTGCTACACCACTGTCTCGTATATATGATCTGAATACCTTATTGTTTAAAATAAACCAGTGAACGTGATTTTATTTTAAATGTATGTTTGCGTTGATCGTTTTCAAACCAAATAAGAGACATATTTAATTCTATACATTCTTGGGGCTTATTTTAAAAATGAAATTTAAACAGAAAAATTATTAAAGGCCGAAAAGATTTCCGTAACATCCGTTTTACGATCAGATCGTTATAGAAAAACGAAATTGAGACATTCGATTTAGACGCCAGCGTTCTATAAAAGCGACTAAACCTAATTATGTTTATTGATCTTAAAAATTCTCCTTACCCAAAAAACTTTTTTTTAAAGAATAGAAATATGATGACTTCGAGGGGGTTGAGAACCGAGCAATTCTAGTGCACAGATCAGAGTGACGTCCTGACACCTGAAAAAAAGGAGTCGTGTTTGAAAAGACTATAATAAAATCCTATGAACCTCGTTATGCGGGTTCGTAATTTAAGCCAATTGCAGTGTACAACGTTTTGTCTACTGTCGAATTGAAAAAAAAAAAATAAACAAAAAAAGAAATAAATGCAAATTGCAAACCTTCTTTTATGGCCTACGTTTGAACCATGCATACCAGGCGAATTGCCGTCCACTAAGCGTGGGTGCGTTTTTCTTAGTAAATGTGTCCCTTGAGTGACGACCCCGCCGTTACATGAACGGCGTATAATGTGTAAAGCCATCGGTCGAAACGCATTTTACGCGATCGTATACCTATTACCATTAAGTGTATAACTCGTTGCATGTGTGACGATATAAACCCCAAGAAAAACATTTCTACGCACGTCTGAAAAGAAAAATACGACCATCTATCGTTGTATAAAACAGCTCTTCGCTTATGTTATTTGGCACTAGATATGTGGCTGTATGTCTGTCTTTCTGCTGCTGTCAGCACGTCCACAGAGACGTCGCTTCGATTAATTGTCTTAATTCAACTGTTAATAATTTTTTTTTTTTTTTTTTAACGAATTCGTTTCTGTGCATCAATCTTATTTATTTTACTTTACAGTCTAAACCACAAAAGAAATGTTTTTCTTTACTGAATATCACAATTTATAATATGATATTTAAAATTAGCAATTTAAAGTAATTATCGTGCTTTTATCGTCGAAGATATACAGGCCGATCTTAATATTAATTCGTAGACATACATACTTATCATACCTAGTAGAATAATTATTAGTGATAGGTATAGAATTTTTTTACTGAGTTCAACTTTTTAACGTCTTGTAATTTAAATATTAAAATAATGTAAAATAATATTTAGTTAATTACGTTTAAGTTATTAATTCTTAAATTCAGTTTATATTTAGATGTGAATACAAAGAAAGATTATTTCATATAGTAATATAATAGTAAAAGTATCTTATTAAGAGCTCGTAATTTTTATTATATTATATTGTAAAAAAATTAGTTTTAAAGTAAAATGCTAGAAAATGTGTTTTAAGTCTAAGTATATAGGTACAATACTTTTCTGTATTTGTACTGAACAAAACCTAACAAAAACAAAATATAAGTTTTTATAAATCATAACCAAAAGTTAGGTATTAATTATTTATTTAGTTATGTATATTTTATTTATTGTTAATTTAAACAAACTAAAACCGAACATAAGCTTTAAATTTACGTTTAATAACAACATTAATTGAATAGAAAAAATAAAAATAAACTAACGGTACAATATTAATGTTTATAATAAAAATACATTTCAAGCATAAAATCTAATAATATAATTATAAAAATACTTAAAGGAGTTAAAATTCAATGAAGTTAACTGTTATGTGTATAAAAACTCCACACTTAAATCACTATAAAGGTGCCTTCACAAGCATAGTCATTAGTTGAATCACATGCATTTATTTTTCCGATACAATAAAATAACGTTACGTCATGCACTATACTTATTTCACCTTCAAATTAGAAGGGCGCCATTTTTCGCGAATGATGTGTAGCTATATTTTGTATTGTAGATTATTGATTAATACTACCTATTTTAAGAGTATGTCTATAACATTTTTATATTTTATTACTTATTGTTCGATATATAATGTTTTTTGTTGATGGTCATAGCCGAATTGGTTCGATGGTACGCGGATGTACATGTACACATGGATAATGATCAGCGGGTCCCAAGTCGATGCGAATACGGAATGATTCATATCGTTGACGAACTTTCCTACTGGGAAGAAAGACGTTAGTTATTTATGCCATTCAGTACAGTAGCTCAATCAAAATTTTCTCAAGGTCCCCTTTTTGTTGTGTACTTAAATAACGGTATTGTTATTTCAATTGACATTATGATTAATTATAATGAATATACCTATTACTTGATAATATGTGGTACATAAATACTGTTTGGAGGATTAAGACCCAGGCCCTCCTTCACATCAATATTGGTCATGTCACTAGTTCAAATGATGTCTGGTATAAGCGCCTCGGAACTCACTAATCGTATGTTTTTCTCCTCATATAGTCGTGGACTTGGAATTCATAACAAATATATTAAAACGCGCCCGGGTGTCCGAAATTGTGGAACATTTGAGGAAAGCGCAGTCTGGGTTCGTGAAACTTTATGACAGCATGACTAATAGTCTAGAAGTAATTATACAATAAACAACTTGTAAATACTACGTTTACAGACTATACAGTACACAGCACGGTGGTATACAAGTCACGCGTTGCTATTATTGGCGGGTTATTGTAAGGCATTTTTTTTCTTGCCAATACGGAAATTACAGCAACTTTTTTTGAAGTGTTGTAATTTGTTAACTCGTAATTTGTTTATTCATCCTAATATAATATAAGTATTAATGTAATTTGTTACATGGCGCTAACTCACTTGGAAAATATGTAGTAAACACGTATATAAGGACACGTCGTGTTTGAACAATTACGGTCTCGTTTAATTGAAACGATAACGAAGTTGTTTATAAATATATATCAGATAGATATTTTTTTACTAACAAGCCAAACCCGCATTGTTTTCGAGTAGATACCGTTAAATGATTATTATTTTTTTTTTTATCACAGATCATAGACAAATGATTTTTTGGTATTAATTATTTTATTTTATTTTTTTTTTTTTAATCAAAACTGCCAAGTAAAGGGGTCTTTAGCCAAATTTAAAAATGAGATTAATTAAAGTTAAGATTATAAATAAAGTCGATTGTAAACAATTGGCATTATTTGCATGCGAAATAATATTATTGCCCATATACTCGTATAAAAACTTAGTTACATAATATAGCATTTTTGGAAGTATATAGGGTTCACAATATTCACTATTAACGTGGGTATATTTTTCTTACTACCCATGGCCGGCGCTTATATGTGCGCCTTTATGTGGTGATGTAAATAAAACTAACGAACACCCGAATGGCGTTCAAATAATATTGCAATAATGATATTAAAACTAATATTATGTTTCACATACCTACATCATTCTTCTTCGATAGGCTACAGACTCTTGAGGGTGTATTTATAAAGAGATGTTCGTGTATTAATATACCTGTACGGCGATAACATTAGGAGCAATTATCGTACTTTGGTTATCGTTACGGCTGAGGTAATTGGTATATTTAATGAGACTGTATTTGTAAGAGGTGCCTATAAATATTATGTGATATTACTTAGCGTAAAATGTGAATTGTAATATCGTTCTCTTGAACTGAGGATTTCAATAAATCTAGTTCTTGCGTTTCGTATGTACTGAATTTTTCGAAATATAACGCCGTGATTATACTAGAGAGAACCGACAAACTATTTCTTATATCACATCTACGTTATCTACGTATCGGGCCACACAATATTGTTTCCGAATATACAATATCGGAATACCGGAAGTGTGCATTCTGTCGACCATAATATGGTGATCTTACTCGTATATAATTTGTTCTTAATAATTAAGATAATTATTACTTTCTAAATAATATCAATATTTTGTCTTTTAACCTTTCATAATAAATAATAATTTACAATAAAATATGTTAAATACACCATGATATTATCATATTCGATATTTTTTTTTAGTATCAAAATGATTAAGTACATAATTATACATATATTTTAATTTAGATTCATTACTTTTAAATGCATTTTATAAAAAATCATAAGATGTGTGAAAAATAGTCTTGAAATAAAAAATTTTTGATTGTTTTCTTCTTTATTCCCCCCCTCCCTTTTGCAATATTAATTTTTTTTTTAGATTATTTTAACCTTCTTTAACTATTTACTATATAGTATTATTTAATATACATTCGTCTGTTGAAATATTTCGTCAATTATTCTACAAAGATTTTTATATATGTTGTAAATGTTACAGAAATCGTTAATCGAAACGAAATCTAACCTGAAGTACTTACAGATCCTTAAAGATACATGCACAAATATGTACGACATCAAATCTCTTAGAGACATCATACCTATTGTACCGAATTTATTTCTTCAATTTATTTTCATATTTGAAGAATCCCTTTACTACAACAACATGTAACAAACATTTTACATATCTGATTTTCCAATCAAATACTTTATATACTAATTTGATCAATCGTTAATCAATTTAAGATATAATTTCGACCATTTGTGCGAATGTCTATGTAATCAAGTTGTGTACTTATGTCGAAAAACTATAGACACCGTCACTATATTTGACAGTGATGTAAAAATGTTAATGGATTCTCTTTACAATTGTTTACTGTGTTGTCAAAATTACCTGTCTGTGTATAATGAAGTAACAGTTAATTTATTTACAACTGATAGTTTTTAAGTAACTTTTTTTTTCTTTCATATGTGTTTAGGTAATAAAAATATATAATAATCAAGATAAAGAACATTTATGGGTAAAAGCTAAACCAATATTCAAATTTATTGAACGTTGCAAAGATTTAAAATATATTTTAAAATCAAAAATAGTGTTTAAAAGGTATCAGTTTTGTATAATAAATATATGAAAGCCACAGGTTATTGGACTAATAATGGCCGATTGATGTAGGTTACCTACTTAGTGACTAATTTTGAAAAAAACTTTACCAGGTTAAACGTATACAATCTAGATGTGCCAAAACCGAATTTTTCATTCTTTCCGGGGAAGTATTTCGTTAAGTATTTGGATTACAACGAACAATATTTCGATATTATTATCAACGACTTGAAGGTTCCTTTAATTAAGATATTTGATGTGAACGAAAACATTTGGGATAACTATAACAAGAAGTAATGAATGTTTAATAAAATATGTCATATATGTATGGTGTAACAGATCACATTGAGTTATTTTAATTACTTGTGTTTATAGTTTATATTATATTATAGAGCCTTGTTTTTAACAAAAAATTTTCCTATTTTTCGACATAAATATTAAATAAATATCGATTGAATCATGTAATTTTAAATTTTGAGTAGAGCGATAAATGTATTAGTTTTACAAGAATGTGGGTTTTTTTAATTTTTTTTTTTTCTATCTGTTATCTTCTTTTGGGACAGGAAAAATGCATTGATTTTAATAATGAAGGAAGTCTCTGGTAGAAAATTAGATTTAGTTGATATTTTAGGGAATCAAAAATTAGAAAATTCTCAGTTTTTTTTAATAATTGATAAGAATAAAAAAAAAAAAAAATTAAGGAAAAACAGAAAATTTAGAGCAAATTTAATTTTGGTCTTTTTTTATGTAATTCCAAAACAAATAACCGTAGATACTTGTAATGTTTACCAAAGGCTTATAATCAAAGTATAATTTTCAAAATATTTTTACTCTTTTTATAGCTTTTTATTTACATGAGAAATATTCAATTTTTTCGTTATTTTTTTTTTATAAATGTTGATAAAAATGTATAAATTAATAAAAATGCTTGAATATTTAATACTAGTTTATGATTATATAATTCATTTTTTAATTAAAAAATATTAAAAAATTATAGAAGCAATAATTTTTTAAAAGTATTTAAAGACATTTTGACAAAATTCGTCAAAACTGCAAAACAAACATACAAACTATTTTTTTTTTATTTAAGTTTTGAAACTTTAATACAAGATTTCCATAAATATTTTTTAATGCAACCGTAAAATTTAAAAAAATATAATAATTGTAACGATAGTTATTTTTCAAAAAAAATTATTTATTTTATAGTATGAATCTAATTTAATTGTTCTACAGTATCTATATTTTTTTTTTCAAAAATTCGATTTTCAGTTATAAATATTAATATAGTAAATACAATGTTTTTGGAAAAAAAATGTATTAATTTTCCTTAACATTAAAATTAAAGTAAACTAATATTATTAAATTCAAATTGAACATGTCCATAATAGTGATCTACTCAGCACTTGTTGTACATTGCAGATTTATAACCATTTACCTACCTCTTTATAAAAATAAACAAGCTTTTAACACAAATTAATGGTTTTAAAAAATAGATTTTGACATATATTTTTTTTTTTAAAAAGAACAATGGACTTAAATTAATTATTTAATTATAGATTCCAGAATGAAATTAAACAATTATGTTTAAAAATTGAAAAAATAACAGATATGGCGTTGAAAACAGCATGTAATGAAATAGACTGTATTAAAATATTACAAAGTTTACGATATTTCGTTGAATGGCCACCACTTAAGTACTATTTTCGTATACAGACCAAATTAATATATACATTTTTAATGGACTATATTACATCGGTGATGGAAATGTTTCATAATAATAAGTATTGGATATCAAGTTATATGCCAAAATACTCGGGTATTTGTATGATGGCCATCATCCACTACAACAATATAACAATATTAAAAAATGTAAATTTATGCACCAATGATTATCATACAATATACATTAGTTATTTAGCCAAAACCATATTCAACACATATTTTTTAAATACATTAATAAAATTTTCTTTACAACGCTACTTAATAAACTGCGGGCGTTTTAAAATAGGCTATCTTCGACCGGCCGTGGTTATTGACATGTTCTCTCACTAAGCAATTGCAAGAAGCGTATTCTTCTTATTCAGATCTTTATCAGCGAATACTCAAAAATTCATTTAGAGCCTGGTGGAATCAGATTGATCCAAAAATCGAAAATCAACTGGAAACCCATATTTTTACGAAAAACCAATTGTCAAATCATTGTTGGAAATTTAATTTTGATCTAAAAAGGTATACGAGTCTTTTAATTAACTGACATATATTAAAAATGCATAAATTATATTTTCCAATAAAGCCACATCTATGATTTGACTGATGAAATTGTTTGTTGGAAGTTGATCAAAGTAGAAATGCCATATGAGTACTTAGAATTTACCAAAATTGCTAAAAACATAAGAATTTTACATAAAAACGCGACCATGATTCTCAAGGATTATAATTACATTATTGCTGGTACTTTTTAATATTATAGTTGATAATATTATTTGTGGAAAATTAATATACATCATTTGTATGAAATATAGGCTTATCTAAACAAGAAGTACAACTGTTTTATGAAAAAATTAATACATGCGTTAAAATAATAGATCCGTTGGTTCTTAAATATACATGGTCTCAATCTGATAATGTTAATAAATACCTTCCCAAATGTTATGAACACCTTGAATCAGTTAAGTTTTATTTGAGTAAAATTTAAAAAAATGTATGTTTCTTATCAAACTATTAATGTTCAGATCCAAGACATAGAAAATTGTTATAAGCAATGTAATACTGAAATAATTGAAATATGTACACAAATATCTAATACGCCATTGTTTGGCAATGAACTTGAACTTGTGATGATAAAAGGTTTGAGCCGTAAAAAGGATAATTTCAGGTTTGATTTCAAGTTTTCATTCTTTTTAAATCCTTATTACTTAATAGATAAATTATATATATTTTTTATTTCAATAGTAATAGAAATTCGGTCTTGAAAATTATCGGGTATTATAATGAAATCATTAGATACGTGACTGTTGTATATGAAAAATTTGAAAAAAATATTAAACGTGTATGTAAAATTGTTATAAAATATTATTTTAGCTGTTTAAAAATCAAATCAAAAATATGTATTGAAGTACACATTATAAAATTCATCACAAAAATAAACAAAGTTTACGTTTTTAAACTATATTTGGATTCCAAAAAAAAAAAAAATAAATATATTTTAAGTTTTAACTAATTGCAAATTAAAATTATGAATTAAAATTATTTATAAGTTCTTTAAAAATATAAACTATAAATAGATGATGTTATATTGGGATCACTACCTAATCAAAATCGATACTCTCATACATGAGTCGTTAGTTCTTAATGTGAGATGGTCGATGAAGAACACTCTAACACAACGAACTGAAACAGTGTTTTTGATAAACGTCAGTTTACACGGCAATAAGGTATGATTGATGGAAACTGAATTTTTGCTTTTAACCTTTTTTATTCACAACAAATCAATTGATATGGTTATCGGCAGATCAAATACAATCCAAGTTTAATACAACTAGTGGTTTATTCCATGAAATTACTTTTGGATATGACAACAGCATTAAAAGTTATACCCAGGTTGTGTCATACATTCAAAATTGCAAACGTTAATCTGATGCCATACAGCTATGCGATCACCCACGACAAAGTGTGTTCTGACCTGCAGACGGAGATCGATATCAGTACGTCAATATCAGTAATAAAATTAATTTACTATTATTTGTTCAATAAAAATGAATTAAAAATGTAATCTATGTCACAATATTCCAGTTTATATGTCTTAAATTTGTGTAACATTTTATAGTACCTATACCTAATTATTATATGTATAACTTATGTCATTGTAATTTAATACACTCTAATGAAACTGGTATAGAGTTTTTTTTTTTTTAATGATTTTTTGGCTTCAGCTTTATACAACCACTGTGTATTTTAATGTTGGTCATACAAGTCAAATTAGTTAATTTTTGTTCATGTATTTTATTTAGCAACGAAAGATATATTGGTGCATTTAAATATTTATATGAATACTTTAATGAAATACAGTGATATTTGGACCAAAGACAAACTAGAGCAATTAAATGAATTTGAATCTATTCCACATAACGCGGATTCTATTGATAAACAAATTATAATGTATGACAAAATGTAAACTTACAAATTGCATAAGATGATTGTTCTCAAATTTATTTGCAGGTACCTCAACTATATAAATAAGTTTAATGAGATGGAGACCGAAACGACAGTATCTTGTACTATTGTAAATATCAGTGATATGATAAAGCAAATTGTAAAACACTGCCAAGATTGGATTTCAAATTATTCCCTATTACTTTTAGGTGAAACGGTCCACCTTATCGAAGAATTTTATGAATATATTGAAATGAACGGTGAACGGTGAGTTTGAAACATTAGTATAAATAATCAAATAAACTAATATAAATCACCTACATTACATTTAATAGTGTAATGTTGCCACCAGTTAACCTGGACGAAATGGTCCAATTTATTGAATATAAAAAAAAAGTAGATTTAGAATGTGATGCAAAAAAGGAAGATATCAATTTAATCACTGAAAACGTTGTTATTTTGGGTGAATTTTTAATTAGATCTAAAATTATTTTAACTTTATCAAGAAACGTCTTAATTATGTATACCCTCAATAGACAAACATGAAATACAAATGTCAGATGAATTACGCAGATTGTATGATAATTTGCATAATTCGTGGAATAATTATACGATCTTATTGAACGAGGCGGATTTGATGTTAAAAGAAAAACAAGAAGAATTCCACGAAATGGTATTACATGATCAAGAAATCTTCAAACAAAATATTGAAGATTTCAAGAAAATTTGGGAAGAATTTAAAGAAACAGAATCTAAAAATGTAGAATTGACTTCATCTGGTTTGTATAATACACTCCTATTAAAATTAGTTTTTTATCATATTTTTGTTAATTTTGATAAATCAATTTTAAATTGTACACCACGTATTCAATCAATTTCATCATAATAGTAATTGTAAAATGTATTAAGGTATATTAAACAATAAGTGCCTTAAAAGTTAAAAGATTTAAAATTCTTAAAATATTTAAAAATAAATTATTAATTTCTATAGTTTGTTTAAAATTCTAATTTGCTTGAGCGATGAATGTATACTTTTTATATGTCTTACAATTATCAAAGATTTTTTTTTTAAATTTATTTTCTCATCAGCCACTTTTTATAGAAGAACGAATGCTTGTATATTCAACTTAAAGGGAACTAACTGGTTGAAAATTAGATCTATCTTGCTTTGGAAATATCTACTATTAGTTTTATACTATTTATCATTTACATAATGCTTGTTGTAGAAATTTCAAAGTGCTTTTTTGTGTTAACATATTATGTGTACTAAAAAAAAAATAAATAATTTCTAAATAAATAAGTTTGTAAATTTAATACAAAATCTTTCAAAATTATAAATTACAGCAACTATAAAATTTTACAATTTTTTTATTTACACTAATCAAATCAAATTCAACTACTTTTATATAGCAGAGCTACATTTCAAAGTTATTTTCGTATATTCAAATATACTAGATGACTAATTATCAGACTAAATAGGCTTACATTTAATAAAAAATAATTGATAATTTTATATTACATTACAGATGCTTTAAACCATATGTCTTTAATGGAAGAAAAATATCAAAAAATAAAAACTGAAGAAAAACAATTGAAACATAATCTTGCAATATTTAATTTAAAATATGTGAAGCCACCAAAACTTAATATGAAAAAAGTGAGATAAAAATTGTAATATGATATAAATGATATAATTCACTATAATTAATTTTAAATTTGTTAAATCATTATTCATAAAATAGTGATTCAAAATTTATTAACGCATATTTTAATATTTGAACTTAATTAAATGTTTAAAATGTATTTAAACAAAATTATTACGTATTCTATGATAAATACTTGTGGAAAAAAAAAAAACAATGAATTATAATTATTTTACTATTAAATTGCATTTCATATTGGTTTAACATTTTTTATGAAATTAAAAATATGATATATTGTATGTATTATTCTTAGGAAATGATTTTCTTGCGCCAAACTTTTACAATTGCTTATAATTGGGATAATACTTGGAATAAATATAAATCTGCCAATTTTTGGGAGATCAAAGTATCTGAAATAGAAGTTACTGTACAAAATATTTACAAAATGTTAAGTTCTTCTTTAAAATTGCTAAAAGATGAAAGTTGGAAAATGTTAGAAATCAGACGGGATAGTTTGGATGCTTTTAAACGTGTTCTACCACTTATTAATGATTTAAAAAACCCAGCAATGCGCAACCGACACTGGGATGAAGTACGAGAAGCGATGACTAAGTTAGTGATTATTATAATATTATTACATAATTATAAATCTTAAAATTTTAAATTTAATGGCATTTCAATAGATACTTTGATGAAACCGATCCCGGTTTTACTCTGGAATTAATAATGCAAATGCAAATGCAAAAATACGGAAATCAAATAAGTGAAATTTCAAGTAAAGCAACAATGGAACTAAATATAGAAAACGTAAAAGTCTTCCAATATATATTAATTAAATATAACTAATAAACAATTATTAACATTTGTATTTAGTCAATAAAATCAATAGCAGAGACATGGACTAACATGGATTTAAATATAAGTTATTTTGGTGATGAAGACATATATCGTATTTTAGTATCCGATGAAATATTACAAATGTTAGAAGATCATCTAGCGCAACTATATTCGATGAAAGGATCAAAGTAAACACGTCATTATTTAATAGGTTTTCAAGTTTTTATTTTCAAATATTTTTGTTTTAGATACATTTCTATATTTTTCAAAGACGCCGATTATTGGTCAAAAGGAATTTCTCTCGTCACAGAGGTTTTAGAAATAACGCTATCTGTTCAAAGACAATTTTTGTATGCAATGGTACATCAAAAATGCTTGATAATTTTAACATTTGTTTATTCAATTCGTTTTACCATTCTAGAACATTTTTAAAGGAGATGATATTCGTACTGAAATTCCAAAAGAAGCCGATGACTTTGATTTATTAACAAAAGAGTGGAAACAGATTACAAATAAAATGTTTATAGATAAAAATCTGTTCAAGGCAACCTGTTCAAAACGTATATCTCGTGTTTATGAAATACATGTTGGAGTTTATTAATGTTTATTATTTAAATATAATTTATATTTAGCTCTATTAAAACAATTGAATGCGATGAGTGCACGATTAGAAGAAACCCAAAGAGCATTAGAATTATACATGGAGACAAAGCGAAACATATTTCCTCGGTTTTATTTTATATCTAACGATGACTTATTAGATATATTAGTACATTCGAATAATCCAAAACATCTACAAATACATTTTAAAAAATGTTTTGACAATATCAACAAATTAGAACTCACCGTAAGTTTCATAATAATTATATTAAATTTTTTTTCATAATCACAAATCGACATATTTATTATAAATTTAAATTAAAGGATAATGACACTTCAGCCATAGGAATGTATTCGGCAGATGGAGAGTACGTACCTTTCACTAGTAGAGTCAAGTGTATTGGACCTGTAGAAAATTGGCTGAGTACTGTTGGTAAATTTCGTAAACTAGTTTAAATTCAGTAATAAATTAAATTTATAATTTAACTATAGAAACAATAATGCGAGAAACACTTAGACATAAGTTAGCAATTGTACTAGAGGCGTTGAAGAAAAATCTTAAGACTCGTGATAAATGGATATTAAAATGGCCAGGACAATTATGTATTACAGCGTCTCAAGTATGTCTTATAACAGTTTTTATTTTTGAAATGCTTAGTTTATTGCATCATAATGATTTTTTTTTAAGATTTATTGGACAGCCCAATGTACACTAGCGTTGTTACAATCCAAAAATACTGGGAATAGCAAACCACTAAAAAAACTCAGAAAAAAACAGAAAAAAATGTTATCAAAGTTTTCGGATGCTATTCGAGGAGATCTGACAAAAATAGACCGTTTGAAAATTGTTTCGTTGGTCACTATCGAAATACATGCTAAAGATGTAGTCGATCATATGTATACTTCTAGTAAATGAAATTAGTTATACAAATCTGAGATTATCTTTTTAATAATTAAAAACCTTTCTTCTTCATGTGATTAACCATATTTAGGATGTATGAACGTGGCCGACTTTGAATGGATGTCACAGTTACGATTTTATTGGGATAAAAAGGATAATGAATTAACCATCCGACAAACAAATACTGAACAACAATATGGTTATGAGTATTTAGGTAATTCTGGAAGATTAGTCATTACACCGTTGACAGATAGATGTTATATTACAATGACTACGGCATTAAATTTGTTTCGTGGTGGTAGTCCAAAAGGACCTGCGGGTACAGGAAAAACTGAAACTGTAAAAGATTTAGGGAAAAATCTAGCTTATTATGTCATTGTCATAAATTGCTCAGATGGCTTAGATTATAAGAGCATGGGTCGTATGTTTTCCGGTAAATTAATACTACTAATCTTTATTTATATTCTTTATCTTAATTTTTTTCATTAAAAGGATTAGCACAGCAAGGTGCTTGGGGTTGTTTTGATGAATTTAATCGTATAAACATTGAAGTGTTATCAGTTGTGGCACAACAAATACTGTCTATATATTCTACCCTCGCATCTCGAAAGCATAAATTTATATTTGAAGGAAATTTGATCAATCTCGTACATACGTGTGGTATTTTTATAACAATGAATCCTGGATACGCTGGTAGGACAGAATTACCCGACAATTTAAAGTCAATGTTCCGAGCTATATCCATGATGGTTCCTGATAGCAAACTCATTGCTGAGATTATGTTATTCGGAGAAGGTTTTAGAGAAACTAGAATTTTATCCAATAAAGTGTATATTTTATTCGTATTATGTAAACAAAAACTCAGCAAACAGGATCATTATGAATTTGGACTTCGAGGCTTGGTCTCGTTAATAAGGTATGCTGGGCAATGTAGACGTCAAAATCCATATATGTTAGATGACGAGGTATGAACCAGTTTTGTTTATTTAACTATGAATATTTTAAAAATAAATAAATTAACTTATCACTATTTTAATGTCAGAATATGTAATTAGGTGCTATTATTGGCGATGCATAACATGAATTTAGCAAAACTTACGGTAGACGATCTTCCAATATTTTTGGGCGTTGTTAAAGATTTATTTCCCAGTATCACTCTACCAGAAGTTAAAAATGACCTACTAATTCGTGCAATTAAGCAATGTATGGCAAATAAAAACCACCAACCATCAGAAGCTGCTATTTCAAAAATCATTCAGTTACATGAAACCAAAGTTTCTAGGCATTCAGTCATGATATTGGGACCTACTGGAGCGGCAAAAACTGCTACATGGAAAACTCTAAAAGAAGCAATGGCACTATTAAAGACAGAAAAAGCTGAATCATTTGTATCAGTTACTGTAAGTCTAAGGTTTTTATTTCAAATAAAAAAGAAGTAAAACATGTTACGAGTATAAATAAATATAATATGAGTTATTATACTCAATACACGTTACTTTATATATAGTATCTCCAACGATTATCTTTTACACACGATAGTGGTTATGGGTAACTAGTCGCCATATGAAGTTACTTTTCTATGATACAAAGTAAATTAATACAACGTTAGTAGTAACATCTTCATAAATTATAATGTAATCAATTATAATGCTAAAAACAACATAATAAATTATTTAATTAAAAGTGATTTAAAATTCTTTAATAAAAATAATTTAAAATTAAGTCTCAGCATTTATGTTATATATACACACATATATATATATGTATGTTATGTATGTTGTACATTTTTTAAATTCATTTCTAGGAATATCCTTTGAATCCTAAGGCACTCACTCTTGGTGAACTATACGGAGAATATAATTCTTCTCAAGAATGGATGGATGGTGTGTTATCATTTATAATGCGTACAATTTGTTCAGGTTATTCACATTTTAAAATCTTTAAATTTTAATTGTTTATAACAAATTGTATTTAATACTTAAAATATGTTTTCTTGATTTTTTTGCTTTATTTAGTTCTTTAAATCTATCATTTAATGATTAACTTATATATATATATATATATATATATATATATATAATATATTTTATAAAAACCACAGATACTGGTATTGAACAAAAATGGATACTATTTGATGGCCCGGTTGATGCACTTTGGATAGAAAATATGAATTCGGTGATGGACGACAATAAAGTACTAACGCTTATTAATAGTGAACGAATTACAATGCCTGAACAGGTAAAAGGATTGTAATACTTTTAGACTATAAAAATTGTATAAAATATACTAAAAAACACTTGATACTGACTTTTTAAATTAGGTATCCCTTCTTTTTGAAGTAGAAGACTTAGCTGCTGCGTCTCCAGCAACTGTTTCTAGATGTGGAATAGTATACAATGACTATAAAGATTTTGGTTGGAATTTGTATTTAAAATCATGGTTAACCAAATTTGAATATCAACCATACAAGATTAATGTAAGTACCCAGTGAAATACTTTTTAGTTAAACATAATAATTAAATAAAACATTAATATTTTTAGATAGAAAAAAATTTTAATAAATATGTAACTGCTGTGCTTGAATTTAAACAGCTAAACTGCGTTGAAACGGTTCCTCTACCCGAATTAAGTTCCATTGTTACATTATGTACACTACTTGAATATTTTACATTTAATGACTTAGCTCTTAAAACACCCACTGGGTTAAAAGCAGATGACTACGATCATCTCATTAAATTATGGTTTCTTTTTTGGTAACAACTAATAATAATCATTAAAATTTTAAAATTTAATTCAAAAATAATTTTACAGTGTAGTCTGGTCAATCTGTGCAGTAGTTAATGAAGATGGCCGTAAAAAAATTGACACTTTTTTTAGAGAAAAGGAAGTAGTATTTCCAATAAGCGATACAGTTTATCACTATTATGTTGATACGAAAACTGCTCAATTTTATCACTGGGATAATTTTTTGCGTGATAGTTCTTGGATATATAAAACAGAGTAAATACCACATAATTTGTTGTATGCATCCGTTTAATAATTTTATTTTCAGATTACCTTTTTACAAAATTATCGTTCCTACAATTGATACCGTTCGGTACAATTATCTTGTAGAAGCATTTTTAAGTAAAAAACGACCCGTATTATTGGTTGGTCCAGTTGGAACCGGAAAGACATTGACAGTTAAAAAAGCATTAGAAGTTTTGGACAAAAATAAATTTTTAAATTTAACAATTAATATGTCAGCTCGAACTACAGTGCATAATGTTCAAGAAAACATTGAAGGACGATTGGAAAAACGTACAAAGGATACTTACGTTCCACTATCAAGTACCTAATTATAATAAAACTTTGAATAAAGTAATATAAATTTAAATTTGTAATTTTAATATAATACCTATCTGCATCGTAAAAACTATAAACAATCTCATAACATGATTTTATTGAAAACATTTTTAATAATTTTGATTTGCAGATAAAACGTTGGTGACGTTTTTGGATGACATGAACATGCCTGAAAAAGAAACTTATGGAGCTCAGGCACCATTAGAATTGATTCGACAATGGATAGATTACGAGTTTTGGTTTGATCGACAGAGTCGATTACTAAAATATGTGAAGAATATGCTCCTGATTGCTGCCATGGGACCACCCGGAAGTGGCAGAAGCACCATTAGTAATAGACTATTGAGTTGTTTTAGCGTGATAAATTTAACGTTTCCCGAAGAAGCACAAATATCAAACATTTACATGTCAATGTTAAGCCAACATCTAAAATCATTCGTAGAACATATACGCAACTTAAGTACGGTCTGAATATTAAAATATGTAACGCTGTGTAGATATAGTTATTATGTAGACACTTTTTTTACTCGTGACAGGAAACGGATTAACCAATATGACAATTAATCTTTACAAAAGTGTAGTAGCTAATTTACTGCCAACGCCAGCAAAAATGCACTATTTATTTAATTTAAGAGATATATCTAAAGTACGTCATTCATCGTTTAATGTTACATTTTATATTCTATATTCATTAACTTTATTTAAAGATATATTGAAAATTTTTCCACACTCTGTTATGTTTACAATTACACTGTTTAATATTTTATTTAACTTTTAGGTATTTCAAGGACTTTTGCGGAGTAATACCGATTGTCAGACAACTGATAACTCGATGTTGCGACTTTGGTGTAATGAGGTGTTCCGCGTATTTAATGACAAATTAATCGACGAAAAGTAAATTATTCAAGCTTTTCATTATAATATGTAAACATTTTGATTTAATAATTTTATTAATTCTGATAACTACATTATAGAGATCGAGAATGGTTCATGGATCAAATTAATATTCAACTTGGAAAACATTATGATATGACTTATCGAAGTCTATGCTCATCGGAACAAGGTCTTATATTCTGTGATTTTTTAAATAAGAATTTACATTATGAGGAAGTTACCGATGAAAAATATCTACGCGAATTTATTGACGAAAAAATAAACGATTACAATTTAAGCTTTGGTGTGGTACCAATGAACCTTGTATTATTTAGAGACGCGATCGACCATATATGTCGCATCGTCAGAGTTATATCCCAACCAAGAGGTTATATAATGCTGGTTGGAATTGGTATATTTTATATAACTTATCACTATTAATTTTTTTTTTATTATTCTGCTTTAATAATATCATGTAAACCAAATAATTTTTCTGATAGGAGGATCCGGGCGATCCTCACTTGCAAAGGTCGCAAATTGGCTATGTGATTACAAAATGTTTACAATTGAAATAAATAAATCATATGCGATAGGAGATTTCAAAGAAGACTTAAAACACCTGTATTATCAAACAGGAGTGAGAGATGTACCTACGTCATTCTTATTTAATGACACACAAATTGTAAATGAAATGTTTTTGGAGATCATAAATAACATATTAAGCACTGGTGAAGTACCACAACTGTACAAGGAAGAAGAGTTCGATGAGGTTAAAATTCTTGATTTAAGTTGAAATGCATTGTACATTTATTTATAATTTCTTTAGATTAAAGAACAATTATCAAATGCTGCTAAAATGGAAGGTGTTCCTGAAACTACAGATGACATTTATTCATTCTTCTTAGATCGCGTTAGAAGCAATCTTCACATTATTCTATGTCTAAGTCCGATTGGAATCAAGTTTCGGTAGATTTGATTTAATTATTAATTTATTAAAAAAAAAAAGTTCAATATATTATGTATAAAATGGGTAAACAGAAACATTGTATCGTTTATTGTTGCAAATGAAAAACATGAGATATTGTGTAAATGGATAAAAATATAGATGACAGAACGTAGTCACTTTATCCAAAATAAAATAAAATAATATTTTCCAAACACGATATATATGATAAGATTTTTTTTTGCTTTTTGTCTGGATCTATTTATAGTTTCTGTCTGATCACTAAATTAAACAAATAAGACGAGATAAAAATAAAGATGCTTAAAATTTATTATATTCGAAGTGATTTGTACAATATATATTAAAAAATTTTTATGATTATTCACTTTTATGATTATTACTCACTTAATTACATGTATAATTTTGATAAATAAAAATATTGATAGAATATCTCTCATTAATTCTACATAAATATTCATTTTTGATTGACAAAAATGCAAAAAAAAAAATTGAATTTACTATTTGAACGTAATTTAGAATATTTTCTAAATAAAAACTGTCTATTGATTAAATACGAGTAGTACAGTGTATACATTTTCTTATTTCTGCAATATCAATTTTGATGATGCGTAATCACCTTTTAACTTTTTTAAATATCAAATCATTAATAATTTATAACAATATAATCGATTTTCTATAGGTATAAATATATCAGTTCTATAAAAAAATTAAAAATATTTTTATTGATATGCTGAATATTTATAAGTAGTTTAAGTTAAATAATGTTATTCGTATTTTTTTTTTTTTTTTGTTTTTTTAATTGTAAAAATCAGAACACGGTTACGTCAGTATCCTTCCTTGGTAAATTGTACTACGATTGATTGGTTTTTGGATTGGCCTAAGGATGCTTTACTAGAAGTGGCATTAAACTCTCTTACTACACTAGAAGTCTTGGCAACTATAACTGGCGCACCAAGAGTAAGAATAAAACTTTATGATATTGATCATAGGTTTGAATTATGAACAGAAAATATTTTCTTGTAAAATAATACCTACATAACTTTTTTTTGAGCTATAAATATTTTTTTTCAAACACAAGTTTTAATTTCCAAAATAATAGCACTGGAATTCACTTCTGCTATATGGTTCAAATAGGTACATCTTATCCTAAAACAGATCACTGTAATAGCATAAATTACATTTTAATTCAATGTTCAATAATTTATAATCTAAAAATAGTTATAATATTAGGTGATGTACAACTTGAAATACATTTGTTATGCATATATAATTATACATATATTATATATATATTTATATTTATAAATTCTGTAAAAATAACTTTTATGAAATCTTAAATTATATTTTCAAAACATAATATCAAAAATAATCTCAAGAATGTTCTCAAAAATATTTAACAAAAAAAAAAAAAAATTTAAAAAAGTTTTTAAGTTAAAATTATTATAGATAGCTTAAAATGAGTTAATATATTTACAGATATCAAAAATAAAAATTACTAATATTTATCAAACGAGTCAAAAAAACAAAACTAACAAAAATAAAAAAAAAAAAACCAAAATTTTTAATACAAATTTATATATTTTTATCTTTTTTTATCTTGATTCAAAAATGAATAACTGATGGGACATACATTTATTTATTAAACATAATATGTTTTAAACATGATTTAATTCTCAAAATCATTTGGTTAGTTTTGTACTATAGGTAGACATTTAAAACAAACTTTATTCTTGATAATACTTTTATTCTTAGTTGAAAATACATAAAAATTAGGTATAAAATCACTCATTACTTGTTTTTAACACAATATTAAAAAATATCAAAAACACATAATCATAATTTTATTTTATAACTCAATGTTTAAAACTTTAAAACATTTTAATGTTACAAAATATTGAAAAACATTTTTAAAGTTGAAAATCCATAAATCTTTTATTTAAACACTAGTAATGTGAACATTTAAACCAAAATTCTTCTTAAGTTTTTTTGAAAAAAATATTTAATATTTGAATTGTCACCATTGATACTAATATTTAGTACTGATAAAAATTATTAGTATCTTAATTAACTTGTAGTATTCAACATTATTTGTTTTTATAAGAATTTAAAAATATTAAAATGCATAAACATCATTCATTTTTTTTTTTATTAATCTAAAGTTATCGCCAGTTTATTTACACTCAAAAAATAAAACACTTGTTTTACTTGACTTTGTCTATATACATACTTAAAAAAGAATATTCTTTATTTTTCAGAAAGAACCACTCTTCTGATTATTTTCTATACATAATTTTTGTTAGTTTAATGATAACTTATTGTTATTAATATAAATAATTAAGTATTTTTATTTATTCGAAACACAAATAGTTTACGAAGAATTCAAAAACTACTTAGATACGCTATGTATAATTGCAAAAGCTTATAAACGCTAATAACGCTAATAAACCTAAAAAAATAAAATTTAATACCTAGGCAATTTTTAAAATATGGATTTGCAAAACGGCTAAAAATTTTTTTTAATATAAAATATTACTAGTTGAGAGAAAAATTATCTAATATCAGTTACAAATGATATAAATTAGTATACCTAACTAAAGTAATAATTATAAACTCCTGGTTATATAAATGTCGTGCTTATAAGAACTTGTTTAATTTTTCAGTTGTATGATTTTTAAATTAAATTATTTATTTTTAGGTATTCGATGTAAATTCAATATCTTTATCGGAGGTAATATTCACACAAAACTAAATTTTATTTTCTCGATTTATTTATTTATTTATTTATTGTGTTTTCGTTTCATAGATAGAGTTGAAACTACGTATTGCAAATTTATTCTCTATTATTCACCATTCTGTAGGAGAATATTCGAGGATGATGATTTTAGAATTAAAGCGATACAATTATGTTACACCTACAAATTATTTAGAATTCGTAACTGGATATAAAGAGTACATCAAAAAAGATAAATTTATATACTATATTTCAATTCATTAAATTATTTTAAACAGAACATTACGTACAAAACGAATTGAGATCGCAAATAAAGCAAATAAATTAAGAAATGGTTTGTTCAAAATAGACGATACCAGTGAAAAAGTAGCTGGAATGACAGTAGATTTAGAAAAAGCCACAAAAGTTGTTTTAGCATATACGATGGAGTGTGATGAATTTTTATCATTTATTTTAAAACAAACAGCAAAAGCTGACCAACAAAAAACTGAAGTTGACGAAAAAAGTATTAAAATCAAAGAAGAAGAAATTGTTTGTCAAGAATTGTATAGATTGGCAATGATTGATTTAGAAAAAGCTTTACCTGCACTAGAGGAAGCTATGGAAGTAAATAATAATATGATAACTAACATTAAATTATTATAATTGGTACCTATTAGAATAGATAATAATATAAACCTTTAATTTAGGCTTTGAATGCACTTAATAAAAAAGATCTTGCAGAAGTAAAATCTTTTTCAAAACCTCCACATAGAGTAAAATTAGTTTTAGAAGCTGTAATGATATTAAAAGAATCTGAACCTAGTTGGACTGAAGCCAAAAGACAATTAGGAGATCCGAATTTTTTAACGCAAGTAAGTTCCTAAATTAAATAAGTTTAATACATTTAAGAGGTACTAAATTAAACTTTAAGTTAAAAGATTTTGATAAGGATCATGTATCACCAAAAGTATTAAAAAAAATAAATACATTTACATCAAATCCAGAGTTTGAACCTGATAAAGTAGGAGCTCAATCAATAGCAGCTAAATCACTTGCTCAGTGGGTCATTGCAATAGAAAAATATGCAATAATTTACAAGTACGTTATATGTATACATTATGTGTAAATAAGGATTTTGCTATAATATTTCTTCGCATATTAGAATTGTAGCTCCCAAAAAAGAATCTGCCGATGCAGCATTATCTGATCTTAAGCAAAAAGAAAATGAATTACTTACTGCACAACAGAAATTATCCGAGATACAAAAACTATTATTACAATTAAAAACTGATTTTGATAAAAAAATGGAAGAAAAGGAACAATTGGTTAAAAAGGTAAATTTAATTTTAATTGAAATGTATAATATATTAATAAATAATAATATTAATTTATAGGCAGATGCTTTGAAAAGAAATCTTGATAGGGCAGCTTCATTAATTGAAGGACTATCTGACGAAAAAATACGATGGACGGAAACTGTAAAACAGTTAGACATACATTTTGATTATTTACCTGGTGATTGTCTACTCAGTATAGCATTTGTTTCGTATATGGGTCCATTCGTATTTAAGTATAGAGATATACTTTTGAAATTATGGACAACCTCATTGAAAGATATGAAAATTCCAAATAATCCAGCATATGACAATAAAGATTTTCTATCGGATCCGGCTATTATAAGAAACTGGAATATCCATGGTTTGCCCAACGATGACTTGAGTACAGAAAATGGAATAATTATCAGCCGTGGTTCACGATGGCCATTGATTATAGATCCACAATGTCAAGCTTTGAAATGGATAAAAAACATGGAAGAAGGAAACGATTTGAAAATCATTGATTTTTGTTTACCAAATTACATATATATTTTGGAAATGGCATTACAAAATGGAAACCCAACATTGTTACAATTATCCTCTGAACATCTCGATCCTTCAGTGATGCCTGTTTTGTCAAAATCGATCATAGAAAAAGGTAAATAATTGTTTAAAGTTCTATATTAGGTATATTTTAAAAGTATAATAAATTCACAAATCGTTAATTATTTTTTTTTTTAGAAAATCAACTCTATATTAAAATGGGCGATAAGATGTTACCATATAATGATAATTTTAGATTTTTTATAACAACAAAATTAAGAAATCCGTATTACCCTCCTGAGATTTTTACTCGAACGACAGTGGTTAATTTTGCAATTAAAGAAGAAGGACTTGAAGATCAACTTTTAGACGTTGTGATCACAATGGAAAAACCAGAATTGAAAATACTTAAAGATAATTTGATAATTAACATTGATAAAGGTAAAAAAACATTGGTTGAACTGGAAGATGAACTACTTAGACTCCTCAATGAGATTGAAGGATCGCTGTTAGAAAACGATGAACTTTTCCAAACATTAGCTTCTTCAAAAATTATATCAGTAACTATCAATGAACAACTCGAAACCTCTTTTACAACTCAGATTGATATTGATGTTGCTCGAGAGGTATGATAAAATATTTTTAGATTAAAAAACCATTTTAAATTGATTAAAATTAAAATAAATATAAATAAACTAAATTATATAATAACTAATTAATAATTATTCATATTTTTTAAAAGTCTATTAACCTAAAAATTAATTTCTGTATATGTTTATTTTGTAGGGTTATAGAGCATGTGCTAAACGAGCATCCATTTTATTTTTTGTTCTAAATGATCTCAATCAAATTGATCCTATGTATCAGTTTTCATTAGATGCATATATGGATCTCTTTGAAAATTCTATAAGAAGAAGCGAAAAAAGTGAATCACTTTTAGAAAGATTAAATAATTTGAATTCTTACCATACATATGCAGTTTATAAAAATACTTGTCGAGGATTGTTCGAAGTTCACAAATTATTATTTTCATTTCAAATAATTATAAGTTTATTAATGGCAGAGGACTTAATACCTGCATATGAAATGGAATTTCTTTTAAAGGGCGGTATAGTAGTTAATAAAATAGAACAGGCAGAAAATCCTTGTCCATGTATGTCTATTGTCTATAATTATTCAAATTTAAAAATAAACTAATATATTTTTATTTTATTAAAAAAGCTTGGTTGTCATCATCCAATTGGGATAATATTTCCGAATTGAATAAATTGCCGGGATTTCTTGGAGTAGAAAAATCTTTTGAACAGTTCTCTCGAGAATGGAAGCAATGGTATATGTCTTCGAATCCGGAATCAACAAATCTTATTGGTGAATATTAGTTAAACTTAGGTGTAATAGTTTAAACTAATTATGTATCCAATAGGTAATTGGAATGATAACACTAATTCATTTCAAAAAATGTTGTTCGTAAGATCTCTGCGATTAGATAGATTATCATTTGCAATAACAAATTTTATTGCTAGTAAACTCGGTTCTAAGTTCATAGAACCACCAGTTATGGATGTTAAAAGTGCACTAGAAGATTCTAGTTGCAAAACACCATTGATATTTTTGTTATCTCCTGGTGTGGATCCAACAAACACATTAATTGCTTTGGCTTCGAGTAACAAAATGAATTATGAATCTTTATCTTTGGGTCAAGGCCAATCATTAGTTGCAACACAGTAATATCACTTAAAATTAAAACTTAATGTGTAATGATTTTCTTTTATTTTCATAGATTGATTGAACAAGGTCAACAATCGGGTAAGTGGATATTTCTCGCCAATTGTCATCTTTCTTTGTCATGGATGCCACAGTTAGATAAAATAGTAGATGTTATGCAAGATGGTAAATCACATCCAGAATTCAGGTTGTGGCTAAGTTCAAATCCTAATCCTGATTTTCCTATTGCATTATTACAAAGCTCAATAAAAATGACAACTGAACCACCAAAAGTAATAAATAAAAATTTAAAAATTCTAATAATTAAAATTATTTTGATGTAAATATAAATTTTAATCAGGGATTAAAAGCAAATATGAAACGTTTATACCAGAATTTAACTCATGAACAATTTGCTAAATGTAAATCACAAGAAAAATACAAGAAATTAATATTTTCCCTTTGCTTTTTTCATTCAATATTAATTGAAAGAAAAAAATTTCAAAATCTTGGATGGAACGTGATATACAGTTTTAATGATTCCGATTTTGAAGTAAATTATATTTTAATACTTGCATATCTTTAATATTATATTGACTTAAAAATAATATTAATGTAATAAAATATAGTTCAAACATTATTTTTCATTCTGTCTTATAGGTATCAGAAAATTTATTATCCATATATTTAGATGAATATGAAGAAACTCCTTGGAAAGCTTTGAAATATTTGATAGCTGGAATTTGTTATGGTGGTCATGTTACTGATAACATGGACAGAAGACTTTTAGATACTTACATTTCTCAATATTTTAATGAAGATGCAATAAACACGCCTCATTATAAGTATAGTACACTTATAGTTTATTTTATTATTTCAAATACAAAAAAAAATAATCGCATTGATATTAGTTTTAAAGATCATTATTATTATATTTTTGTCATCAGTTATTACTTACAATAAATACGTAATCAATATTAATTACTAAAAAAAAAACATTTTTGGTATATTATTATAAAGTTTTATCTTTAGATACTTATATTATATAATTATTTTGGACAACGCATATGTTATTTTAAAACTACATATATTCTGCATGAATTATTATATAACTAACTCACAAGTAAACTATAGTAAAAGTCTCTAAAATTGTATGTCAAATATTAAATAATAAATGTATAAACATTATCAATTATTAAAACTGTAACAATGTTTACTAAATTTTTAATTTGTTTGTATTACATTTTTTATTAGTTAAAAATGTATAAAAAAACTTTTATTCAATTAATTTCAAACCTATAATTCTTTAAACAATGTGTTATGATTGAATTGATACATGCATATCAATTTTTAACACTGAATTAATTTGTACATAATTTATTTATTTATAACAAAAAAATCAATAATTTTATTAAACTAAATATTTCATTTTATAATTTAAATTATTAAAAATATGTCGAATTTTTAGTTTTTGTATTTTTGATTGATGGGCGAACAACTATTTTTTATAAACTCCTAAGGTTTTTCATGAATTAGGGTATTTTAAATTTAAATAACACCAGGCATAATTTTACAATAGGCAACAATTCTAAAATATACTCACTCCTGATTAAAAGGTATTTAGTAGAAAAAAAATATTTATCAAATATGTAAAATAATATATTCAGAGTAAGTATAGGTATAATTAAAAACTTTGGATGTATTAGTTTATTTGATTCCAATGAAATTATTTTAAAATATTTCTTAAAGATATTTGATACTTCTATCATCGCAAAATCTTGAAAAACATTTATGAAGACACGTTCTTTTAAAACTATAACTAAAAATGTAATTAATTGTTCGAAACAAAGAAATTCAAAAATATTTTTATGGTTTAAAGGTTATCTTCATTGTCAAGTTATTTTATTCCAAGAGATGGTGATTTACAAATGTACAGGAGTTACATTGATACATTGCCAATTGTAGACAGGCCTGAAATATTTGGACAACATGGTAATGCTGAAATGGCTTCTTTTATGGGAGAGAATCGTATAATTTGCGATGCCCTAATGATTTTACAAGGACAATCATCAACGGTGACTGAAGAAAATATGGAAGGCAAAGTTTTAGATTTATCAACTAAAATTTTAAAAAAGTTACCTGATCTGATTGATTATGCTTCTACTGCAAAAAACATTAAAAGAAACCCCTTGGATATTGTACTATTGCAAGAGGTATTCGTTATAATCATAATAAATCTTTATTTACTTTAAAACAATGAAAACCGAAATTAAAAAAGAACGTCGTATTTAAATATATATATAATATATAAATTTCAAATGTTTAACACTTACTTTGAAACATGGTTTTCATTATCAACCTTAAATTTGATGATAGAAATCAATTTAAACTAATATTAAAAATATTATTTTGAACCTAACATTTACTACGTTACGCTTAAGTGAAACGGAGCTAACATAAATTACGTCCTCTTAAAATAATAAGTAAAACTTTTACTAAAAATAAAAATGTGATTTTTTTTTTTTTATACGATACTGTCAGTTTAATTAAGTAATAATTGTAACTATATTATACACTATAATTTTTCATTGTAGGTACAACGTTATAATAGTTTATTGAGCAATATTAAAATATCATTAATCGGTCTAATGAAAGGCATCAAAGGGCTAACAGTAATGTCATCTGATTTCGAAAAGATATTCCAGTGTATAAATGAAGGTAGAGTTCCTAGTCAATGGCTCAAAAGTAATTTAAAATGACGATACTTACATATGATGTATTGTTTATTTATATATACATTAAAAATAACTTTTAGCATACCCGTCGTTAATGTCTCTGGGACCCTGGACTCAGGATTTAATAGAAAGAATCAATCATTTTAAAACTTGGGCAAACAAAACTCACCCACCTATATTATTTTGGCTGGGAGCTTATACTTACCCAATTACATTTCTGACAGCTGTTTTACAGGTATTTGTTTTTTTTTAATTTTTTTTATTATTATTAATTATTATTTCCGTTAATTAAAAAATAAATTAGATTCATTCACGAAGTTCAAAAATAGCAATAGATTTACTCAGTTGGGAATTTATTCCAATACAGCCAGAAAAGGAATCACTATCACCAAAAGTAATAATAAATACTATAACATATTTTTAATATCAAACAAGTATCTTACACAAAGTTAATATTTAAAATTATTTTAGGAAGGAGCTTACGTACGAGATCTTTATTTAGAAGGGGCTGATTGGAATTTTAAAAAATCGTGTTTGTGTGAATCAGTACCATTAAAATTTATTTCCAACTTACCAGTAATACATTTTAAGCCCACAGAAAATACAAGAATTCCAAAAAGTACCTAATCATTAAGAATTCATATTTTTTTATGTACATTAATGTAAATAACTTATTTACACATTATTAGATTTCTACCAATGTCCAATATATTATTATCCTCTACGGTGTGGTGACGGAAGAGAATCTTTTATAATCATGATGCACCTTGATAGCGGAACGGAATCCCCAGAATATTGGATTAAACGAGCTACAGCTGTATTGCTTAGTTTATCAGACTAAACTAAAAATCATCAACTAAAACATTAAACTTTATTTACATTTAAACAGTTGTTACTACTTATTTATAAACGATACTACATGATAAATTAAAGAAATAATTAAAATACTTTTTGTAATAAATGAAAAAAAAACACACACACACACACACACACAAATAGTATTCTAAAACTATAATCATTTAATATTAAAATACTAAGTAGGTATCATACAACTTATAGAATTCAATAGAATAAAAAATAAATCATAATATGTATTATATTATAATAGTATAATTTTTTGATCTTAATTACGTATGCATTTTAACACTAAATTTTAACAGGGTTTTTGTAAAAATATGTAAGTTAGTTTTTAAAAATTGCCATTCAAGACTCACAAACTTTAATGATATTAACTGATAGGGTGAGCCAACTTTAAGTAACCCATTCAAATTGTATTATACACTTAAAATCATTATCAAACAAGTGTCTACATTTGGCGAGTTTTTACAAATGTATCATTAGAATTTGCAAGTTACCCTATAATAACCCATGAACTTTCAAAATTCTAAATTTAGAACAATTCTGTGGTGTTCGGGCAAAGGGGGATAAGTGTAAAATCGCAACTTTTGGTAAAATGAATATGAAACTTTGAAAATTTACTAAGAAAAATGTTTTTGGCTAATTGCTATGGGAAAAAACATACTTATTATTTAACTTATTTTAATACTATATTTCTATATTTGAAGAAAATATTCAAAATAGTTATATTAAAAAATCATAATACAATAACAAAAACTAAATTTTTTCTGACTTATCCCTTTTTGCACATAAATTTTATTGACATAACTCATAATTCAAATTTATAATGTTTTTTAATTAAAAATATTTTGTTATTCACATGACTTTAAAATAACGTCTTTTTTTCAAAATTCAATACGATAAAATAGGTAATATAGTTTTTTTACTATTACAAAACAGTTTATAAAATACAAAATAAACTTTTTTCTTAACTCTTAATAAAAAAACAAAAAAAAAATAAATATTTATTCTTAAAATATTACTTTAAAATAATAACATAATTTTTTCGAAGTATAGTTCCTTTACTATACTTAACAAAATATAAAATAAAATTATTAAAACTTTTATTCAGTCTTCTTCAATTTTTTCATCAGCCAAATCTATTAATACATCTCTTTGGTTTTTATCAGTCAATCAATTTTTATAATAATCATGAAAAATCACAGGAATAAACTGAAGTAATTGTATTTTGATCGATGAAGAAAATCTACGTGATAAGTGATAACAAATAAATTCTTAGCATCTAGTATAATCAGTATTGCAAGCAAAAAGATACAAAAATATTTTACTATATTACTTTGATTTCTATAGTTACCTATAGTGTTAAAAGTTAAAATAATAATGATATTGGTAAGTGTCATATTATTAATATGACACTTATTTATTAACCTAATAAAAAACGAGCTAAGTCGGTTTATCTGTTATGCATAAGGGGATAAGTCAACTTGACTCATTATGCATATAAATATAATATGTGTAATAAGGTGATAAGTGAGTTATTCTCTTTTGTACAAACTAAATCACTTCAATTACATTCAATCTCATTTTTCACATGTGAATATTAATATTAAAATATCACACCCTATGACTTATCCCGTTATGGCCAAACGTAAAGAATTTTTTTTCTCAATATTTTAACCTTATAACCCCAAATTCGCATTTTTTGACATATTCCCCTTTGCTCGAACACCACAGAATTAAAAGTAGTGTATTTGAAAATGTAAAACTTATGTATTTTAGTATATTAGATACAAATTGCATGTCTATTTTAGAATTAAATAAAAAACCGTTACTGCTATTTCAAAGTTCTGAACTTGCTAAACTTGACTCATCCGAGTTATTAAAAAAAAAAAAATGATAATAGTATTAACATTATGCTTGTATCATGTAGATTATAAATGAAGTAATCATAAAATAATAACAAACAAAACACAAAATTTATTTTAACATTATTCCTTTAAAATACATTTCAACACTAATTAAGATTAATTAACAATTATTAACAGCAATAAAAAACTGTATAGTAAAGTAATCAGAATATGATATTATCTACTACTTATGCATACCAAACTTATATAAAAATTACTTATATTAACTGGAATGTCATTTTAAAATTATATTATTACAATATTTACAATAAATTATGTAATATTTCAATAAGTTAGTTAATTAAGACCATATACAGCTAAATAATTAATTTTATGTAAAATATATTACTTTTCATTCCAAATATATTTTTAGAAATTTGAAAAATATACATCGATTATGATGGATCCACGTTTAAATGTTATTTTTAAAAATAAAACATAATTTACAAACGACTAAAAAAGTGTAAAAACATGACGAAATTATTGTAATCATATTAATGCGATAATATTCGTAGTATGCACTTCTAAAGAATTTCAAAACTTAAGAATAGACTATTTTGATATATAATTGTTGACTTACACCTACTTTTGAATAATTAAAACATACATAAATAGTCTTCTAAGTTTAATATAAATAGTTAGAAATAAACAAGTATACCTGAATATAAATATCACAGTAATTAATCTAATAGATGATTATTCAATAAGCCATTATACAAATTCTATCACAAATATGAATACCAAGTATCTATTGTATACTGGTCCTAGTTTATGTACTTATAATAAAGAAAACAGAAAAAAATCTGAATTTAAGTCGATTCTAAACTAACTATAATGTTTTAAGTTACTTTTCAAAATGTATATGAAAGTTCCAAAATGTAAAGTTCTGAGATCTTTAGCTAAAAGTCCTACTTCTTCGTCGATTGTTAATAGTGACATGATAGATAAACACGAAACGTGGAAATTATTGAAAAAATAAACTCATGTATTCTTTTATTATTATAGAACTAATTGTTTATTATTATTTGTAACTGCTGTAAATTCTGTGACATTTTGGTAGCTTTATGTAGGTCTAATTGTATCTATTAATTATTATGAATGTAGATAAAATTATTTTTATTTTTATTATACAATGTAATTATTTTATTTAGTTTAAAAATATTTAAAAATATTAACTATATATATATTATGTAACCGATAGACACGTGTATTAAAAATTACACAGTATTTGTATTTATAACACATTTTAATTATTTACATCATATGATAAAAAACAATATTTAGAATATTGTAACTAATTTAACGTATTCCAAAAATATTTACGAGTAAATTATTGAACCACATTAGTTAAGATAACAAGGAAGAAGGATGTTAAATAATTTACAACATATTGTTGATGGTTTGTAAACAAAATATACAACGCGAAAATTGAATGTATTTCACTAAATTCGCAGTTAATAAATTATTGTTATAATTGCGAATAGGTATAGTGAATAACAGTCTGTTATGCGTCTCAAAATAAAAGGAAAATCATGTTAATAATAAATATGAGATAATATTTAAATACAATCTAAATCAATTCTGGAAATGAGCTGAGAATAAGGTAACACGTTATAAAATAATGGTAATCTGGACGTCACGAATTGGAGTCTCTCTAAACCATAATTATCAATTAAGTACAACGATCGGAGAACGTTTATCGGGCTTCAATTATTTTTTGTTTTAACATAAATATAGATTTTTATGTATCATATTTTATATAATACTCGAGTAGTTATACTATTTAATTATTTGTTTTGAATCCAATCTAAAACAGGTTAATAATTCATGTTTGTTTATTATTAAACGTCTAATATAGTTCATTCATCCAAATGTTCAATCGACTCTCGAGAACCAAACTGATAACAGTTCATTCATATTATTTTGATTACTCGAGTGTAGTTAAAGTTACGAATATAATTTTAAGGTGCAAACACAACATGTTTTTATCTTTTTACTTTTTAGTTTTACTATTGGATAGACTGAAATTAAAACTTTTAAATTTTGTGAGAAGTCTCTGAGTGATTTGCAATTTCTAAAAATGAACTTGACTTGTCAATACTTGTCAATTACAGAAACTTGTTTGATATTGATTTTGAGTCCATAGTGTAACATGGTTGAATTACCTTGATTTAGTCCACTATATAAATTATTCATATTATAAAAAGTTTAAATATTTTGACTTGCAAATTTGAAAAACTCAATTGTAAATATTTACAAAATTTTTCTAAAATGTATTGTTGGTTAGAACTTTATACATTGAGATTGATGATCGACTTCAAAATCGTAAAATATTTCTAAAAATATGAAAGTTAATATAGTAGCATACAAATAAAAATCTTGAGGCGGATAAGGAATGGATTATGATATCGTAATAAATATTGTGATAATAACTGTAAGTATTATATTATATTTAATTACTTAAAAAATTAAATGAAGGAATATTTCTGCGCCAAAAGTAACATAATATATGTTGATGTAAAAAACAACAAAAATATTAAATACAATACGTTTATTATTAATAAAACAAATTACTTCAATGTTCAATCAATAGTTATAATTAAAATATTATTTGTTATTTAGAGATATTAAAAAATTGATATAATTTGAAACTATATTAAACTAACACTTTTTAAATTACCCAATAAAATAGAAACGCAATATATGAATTACGAGTACAAACAATATTCAAAATTATTTGTTTCTTTAGCTAATAAACTATTTAGTTTTTTGTAATTGATTTATTATTTATACCTATTTTTATTTTCTGATTTAACACCTATAATTGAATCTTAACAACAATGAATTAAATTTAGAGTGTAGGCAATCAAAACTTATTCAAAGTCGTACATATAATTACAGTTTTAGTATAAGTTATAAAAATAAAATGTATATTTTTTTAAACTTAATAGAAGCATGTACAAAGCACAGCATAATACTTCCTTTTGATTAAATCGTTATGTCTTCTTCAACTATGTCTAAAATATAACGTATTTTTTATATATAAATATTTAGTTTTTTATTTATTCTAAATCCC